ACTAAATTTTGATCCCTGAAATTCTTGGTAATACCAATGTTCACTTTGTCTGGTTTTGTTGCAGTATACCCCATATAATAAAATTTTGTATGACAATATGATCACACATACAAACATTTGATATGATAAATTAGCCAATTAAACGATCGGTTAAGAGATCATGAGATTAAATGATAACGATGATAACGATAATAATCGCAGTAAATTAATTGATGAAAAATCCTTAATTCATTTGTATAAATAATTGGTTTTTTTTCATTTACTAACTAACTAACTAACCATAATATATAGTTAAAAAATACAAATTTTTGAATACATGATTTAGCTGATTGTCAAACAACTACAGAGTTACAATTAATTATATTAATTACATGTTATTGCTATTATTGTTGTTGTTGTTATTGTTTGTTGTTTACTAATAATAACAATTGAGTTTTCGATAAAGATACACCTTTTTCATATATATGCATATATGTACGTACAAAATTTTATCCCGAGTCAAACAATAATTATACCAGCCAGTAAATAACTATCCAATATTAAATTGTTATTTGTTTATTATTATTTACATAACCAACACCGCCAAATTTCCAAATGGACCTTTACGTAATAGTAATGCATATTTTAATGTTGCAATATTGACTTATTCATCGTCAAGTCATTGCCACTAACTTTATTTATTCAATTAATCAACCAATTTGATATTAAATAAACGCTCATAAACCTCACACTCTCTTCAGCCCATATTTTACGACCATTCTCAAGACAAAAGTGATAAAAAAAAATAATAACGATAAGGTTCATTATTAATACTATTATTATCATGCCATAAAATTTCATATCTCCTCCAGTAAAATTAACGTTTTTACTACAATAACTTACAACATCTTCTTTATTAGGTCTTTTGAATCTACTGATTTTCACCAGTTTTTGAAAGTAAACATTTATCTGTCAACTCTTATTAGGCCTTTTGAATCTGCTTATTTTCACCAGCTTTGAAAGTAAACATTTATTATAGTCTGTCAACCCTTATTAGGCGACTTTCTTTTTTATTCCAACAAAGTGGATTATAGCCATCGGTTAATTCGCCTGTTTCATTATAGCCACAGCCTGTTCTATACCGTAACGTTTGTCCTCAAAAACTGATATAGAGAATCCGTCTTGAGATCCACGAAGGACTAATTTAAAATCATAAGGTAGATTAAATAAATATTTTTTCTTATCTGACCAGTTAGAAATTAAACATTTCATATCTAAATTCGATGTTTTTTAATTTTGAACATTTGTAATAAGCTTGGTTGCCATTTATCATTAAATAAAACCTTTAAAGACTTCTTTATCAAAAAGTATTTTAAATGGCAAGACTTTGCCGGAAAAATCTCTCGAGTAGTCTCCTTGAATCTTATCATGGAATAATATTTTCTGTTAAATCATCCTTGACCACTCTGAAATTTTTCTTTTCCCAAATTTTTCATTTTGTCTCATCTCCCATCGAATGACATAATCCCAAATATCAATTTCATCTAATTCCAAATTATCCTTTTCTAATATAGACATAAAACGTAGGTTTATCAATATCTTTGAAATCGTCAGATTTTAAAAACAATTTAGATAATCAGAAATTAATTCGACAAAATATTCCCGGAGTAAATTGAACGATTGACGGTTTGATGAAATATTGTGGACATAAATTAGATTCTGTTGAAACCATTCTTTTTTTCAATCATTAGATAGTTTTGTAAATCTTCAATTAATTCATTGATATTTAATTCATCACATGATTCAAGAATTCCAAGAATTCCATAGATTCATATTATCTATCTATCTATAATCATGATTCCATTGTAAATGTATCTTTTATAAAGAAAAAACATATGTTTTTTAAAAATCATGATT